GAAAAGGATCCATGAAGTCCATGTAAGTTCCCAGCCTCTGCGTCCTCCTTACCAAGTGGAGGGGCACAAAAGGCAACAGCTGTTACTTTGATCTTTTTCTACCTACTTCCAGTCTGGGTAAACTAAGGCTCAGGAAGAAATGCACTTGTCATGGTGCCCGGCGTATGGCCCGGGCCCTGCCTCCCCTCCCCCTCTGGTGCCTGCAGGTGAAGGTAGACCACAGCCTGGAGTACCAGCCCGTGGAATGTGCCATCGTGATCAACGCAGCGGGGGCCTGGTCTGGCCAGATCGCACAGCTGGCTGGTATCGGGAAGGGGCCACCGGGCACCCTGCAGGGCACCAAGCTACCTGTGGAGCCAAGGAAAAGGTGACTCCCCTCAGGGCAGCTGAGGAGGTTGGTGGGAGAAGGGAAGAGGCAGTGTAAGGGGTTGTTACTCGTGGTGGGAAGGGGAGGGGCTCTTCTAACCTGCTGGTCATGGTAGGTACGTGTACGTGTGGCACTGCCCCCAGGGACCCGGCCTGGAGACCCCATTCGTCGTAGATCCTAGTGGGGTCTATTTCCGCCGGGAAGGACTGGGCAACAACTATCTGGGCGGCTGTAGCCCCACCGAGGTAAGCTAGGTGGGGTTGGGGTGCTGGGCAGCAGACACAGGCCAGTCATCATTAAAGAGCCAGGCTATTTGGGGGGGCCAGCACTCCTGCTGATGTGCCAGCCCTACTGAGGGGAGTAATGGGGTCACTGGGGCCCACCCTCGTGTCCCAGGCAGAATAAGCCACGTCCCCACCTCTCACCGCAGGAGGAGGAACCAGACCCAGGGAACCTGGAAGTGGACCATGATTTCTTCCAGGACAAGGTGTGGCCCCCTTTGGCCCAGAGGGTACCGGCTTTTGAGACTCTGAAGGTAAGTGGGAGGCCGGTGAGCCTGAGCACCTCGGTCCCCTTGGAGAGCCTATCCGCTGTTATGCGCCCTCCACCTCACAGCTGCTAAGGACCCATCCCATCGACCCCTCAGCAGCTGGGAGGTCAGACTGTGTCTGACTCTTGGGCAGGAGCGAGGGCGGCATGTGCCGGCACCTTCCCGGGCACCCCAGCATCTTGTCCACCCGCAGGCTCGGAGCTCTTGGGCTGGCTATTACGACTACAACACCTTTGACCAGAATGGTGTGGTGGGTCCCCACCCACTAGTCATCAACATGTACTTTGCCACGGGCTTCAGTGGCCATGGACTCCAGCAGGCCCCTGCCGTGGGCCGAGCCGTGGCGGAGATGGTGCTTCAAGGCCACTTCCAGACTATCGACCTGAGCCCCTTTCTCTTCAGCCGCTTTTACTTGGGAGAGAGGGTCCAGGAGCACAATATCGTCTGAGCCGTAAGCTCTCAGATGGGCCCTGCTGCCCCATCCGTCAGCCTTGGCCCACATGCACATCTTCCTCACCGTGGCTTTCCCCAGCACCAAGCCAGGCTCTCCTGTCCCCGCACCCTGCTCATCCGGAGGCGGGCCAGGCAGGCAGACGACGGGCTTTGAGGCACTGCACCTGAGGCCCAGGCCAACAGAGTGATGGGTGAGACTGCACGACCCATCTCTGGCCGGGGTGGAGGCCACCCACCGAAGTAGTACAGCTGGACTACTAGTATACCTGACCATGTGACCGAGACCGGCTCCTTCCTAGTACCCAGGCAGGGAGCATTTGGGCAGCCTGGCCCGGATGTAGTGACTGTCTACCTTAGTCATCAACCAATAAATGTGATTACTCTTCCCATCCAGTCCTCCATCCCTTCTGCCTCACGTCATGGCACCTGCTTCTGAAGCACCCACTGGCCCTTGACACCAGGCTGGGAGGGGCACGGCTGCCTCGCGGGACCATTCTTAAGTCCTGGGTGGAGGCATCTTGTTTGCAGACTAATGCCTCCTCTTCCTGAGTTCCTGCGGGGGTTTGGCCATGGAGGGAAGGGAAGGGTTCATTCGTGTATGGACTGTTTTTTCAGCTCCAACCCTTGGCCGGGCCCAGGGCTACATGTTAGGGGAACCAGGCAAGGCATCCTGTAGGTCCTCACTTGAGTGTTCTTATCTCCCCCCTGCCCCTCTGCCCAGGTCAGATGGAGTGCAGGCCCTGGATGGCCGGGAATAAGTGATTCCAGGCTGTGGGGAAACCCAGTACAAATGCCCAGGACCAAGAGTCAGTGAGGTTCAAGGGACAGTAAGTGATTTGTCCGAGCAAGGTTGCGGGGTGAAGGAAGAGGAGTGCTAAGAAGCAGGGCAGGGCCGGGGGCTGAAGAGCCATCTGTGGAGCTTGGGGCGTATTCTGTGCGCTTTCAACAGGGAAGCGACACACTCCAATTTTCCTTTTAGAAAAATCACCCTGGGGATCCCTGGGTGGCGCAGCGGTTTGGCACCTGCCTTTGGCCCAGGGCGCGATCCTGGAGACCCGGGATCGAATCCCACATCAGGCTCCCGGTGCTTGGAGCCTGCTTCTCCCTCTGCCTGTGTCTCTGACTCTCTCTCTCTCTCTCTCTGAGTATCATAAATAAATAAAAATTAAAAAAAAAAAAAGAAAAATCACCCTAACTGCCTTGTGGAGACTAGATTATGATGTCAGGCCAGGAGGGCAGATGCGAGCCGTCGCTTCAGTCCACATGGCAGGGACAAGGGGGCCTGCACCGTCCTGGCAAGAAGCATGTGCGTCTAAGAAGTGACAGCAGTGATGAGAGACGGCCAAGTAAGACTCAGGTTTTTGGCTCAGACACTAGCTATACGTCTTGCCTTTCACAGAGTAAGGAACACCAGGGAGGAGCAGCGCGAGAGACAAGGTGTCTGGGACACGCTGAGTCAAAGGTGCCCACAGGACACCTGGAGGAGATGTCTAACCGGGAGTAGAACTTACTGTGCGGCCTCCCAGGAGGATATGGGCTGTTGAGAGATGGACACTGTGGAAGAGAATGGCATCGCCCCACAGCGGGAGAAGAGTAGGGGGCCGGGGACCAAGGGGGGAAGCTGCAGGACCCCTCTGACATTTAGGGGTTGAACCAAAGGAAAGGAAGCCTAAGAGGTGGCCAGAGAGGCAGGAGAAAAGCCAGGAGCGTGAGGAGTCACAAGAACCCAGAAGGAGGGGTCAGCAGTAGCCACACATGCATACAGGCTGGGCCAGTACCAAGTGTGTCAGTGGGGACCCCAGGGACAGCACTTCTGGAAGAAACCCCCCCGTGGGATTTGAGGTGACAGTTGTTGGGAAGAAGTGAGTGGGAGTAGAGACCTCTAGTAAAATGCTCATTCCCCCTCATAAGCGGTCTTGGGGGAGAAGAATGAAACAGAAAGCGGGCCTGACTGATAGTGGACGTGAGGGAGGAGGACGTGCGGGGCCCTGCGAGGTGAGGGAACTGGAGAAGCCCGTGGGTGTGGCCAAGAGCCAGGAACCACAAGGTGAGCAAGAGGAAGAGCCTCCGGTGCTGAAAGACAGGAAGGAACTTGCCAGGGGCCTGGGTAGGGACAACTGCGGTGAAGGCTGTGAGCTAGCCTTGTGGGCTGCCCTGTGTGCACCCCCCTCTGTGGGGCAGGAGGAGAGGGGCCTTCACCTGGCCGCTCACCCTGAATCTACCTCAAGACGACACAGGGGACTGAGGAGGAATGCATTCGGGAAGCCTCGGCACCTGCACGGGGCTTTCCTGAAGCTTGAGGGAGAGCGCTGTCAGGCCGTCTGCCTCCCCCAGGAGACTGAGCGTTGGAGTCCGGCCTCCTCCACCTCTGCCCCAGCAACAGGCTGCAGCCTGCTGCGCGTCCCTTACCGCGCCAGCCAGTGTCTACCTGAGTCCCTGGGGCCCGAAGCAGACCCCTGGCTTCGGAGACTTCTGGGGTCAGTGGGAAGGCCAACCCTCCTAGGCTCAAGTCCCAGCAACACAAGGTGCTACCGGAATTGTGACAAAGCTGGGAAGGGCTTAAGAAACGCTTCTTCAGAAGCTGCAGAAGTGAGCCTTTCCAAAAGAGGGGTGCTTGAGGAGCCCAGGTGCCCACGGTGGGCGGAGGAACAGCAGAGGTCGGGCACCAGCAGGGAAAGCAGGGGTGTGTTTGATGAGGGGTAAGAGAACCCTCGGACGTGCTAATTCATCTCCTCTACGCTCACGGCAACACTGGGAACCAGACACGGAACTTGACGTTGAATAAAGTGGACGTAGGCAGGCTCCGCGCTTCCCCAAGGCCGGAGGGCTAGTAAGTGATGAGCTCTGCGCGTGGACCCCAGCGGCCTCCCTCCAGAGCCTTCGAGCACCGCCTCAGACCACGCTGCCTCCCGGGATTCGTCCCTCCTTAGCTCTGCCCGCTGCTGAGAAAAGTATGAACTCTGAAAGGGAGAGCGTGAGCCCGCCCTCGGGCCTATGAACTCCCGCGCCCCAGGATGCTGGGGCACATCGTCCGGGTTTCCACACGGCTGGGCCCTGGAACACTGCTCAGGGCCGCTGCCGTTCCTTCTGTGGTGAAACAAGTTTGGGAAATGCCCCATGTATTCCCTCCACCCCCCACCCCGCCCGCAGCACGTCAAGGGGCTGCCTCTGGGCTGCGCGCCGGCTCAGGCCCTGATCTCGGGCCTGGCCTGGGACGGAGCCCTGCGTCCGTCCGTCCGTCCGTCCGTCCGTCCGTCCGGCTGCTGCTGCTCCCCCGGCCTCTGCCCCTCCCCCGGGCATGCTCACTCTCTCAAGTAAATGAATAAAATCTTCGAAGAAAAAAATCCTGCACTTGAGCCCCTGGACTCAAGCCGGACGAGCCAGCGACTCGCTCCTCGCTCCTCGCATTTGTCAGCAGCTCTGCCACCCGCGGAAGGGGCCCCGCTGGCGCCTGCGGGAGTCGCGGCTTCCCGCACCTGAGGCCGCCACCCCCCGCCGCGCGGCCTTTGGACGAGGTCAAGCTCGAGTTTTTTCTTTTCTCTCTTTTCTTCTTTCTTGGAGAGCGAGCGAGCCAGCGCGCGTGGAGCCAGTGTGAGCGCAGGGCCGCGGCGGGGCGCTCAGGACCCCGGGTCCGCCCCGACGTGCGCGGAATCCGGAGCGGGCGGCCGGCGCCTCCGCCTTAACCGGGGGACGGAGAGGGGCGCCCGGCTGGCCTCGCAGGGCGGCAGGAGGAGGGAAGGACTGCGGCCCGGGGCTGCTTCCCTCCCCGACCCGGGACGGCGCCCGGGCTGCAGGCCGTGCCCGGGAGGAGGGGCCGGGGGCCGGGCCGCCTCGCCGCTTCCGGAGGAGCCGGGGAGCCGGGCGGCCGCCAGCCGGGCCTGCGCGCCGACTTCCCCTCGCCGCGGCGGCCGCAGCGCGGGAGCCCGAGCCCGAGCCCGAGCCCGAGCCCGAGCCCGAGCCCCCGGCCGCCCAGCGGAGGGGTCGCCGCCGCCCACGCGCAGGTGGGCCCGGGCGGGGGCGGGGTGTCTGCGGTGGGGGGGCGGGGGCAAGGGGGTGCCGGCGGTGGGGAGGGCGGGGGGAGGGGTGCCCACGGGGCGGGGGGCGGGGGGCGGGGTGCCCGCGGTGGGGGGGCGGACCCCCAGGGACCGCGGCACCCTGCGCCCCGGCCGTGCCTGCCCCGGGCCTGGGGAGGACCGCCGCCTCTCTGTGGCCCCCGTACCTGGCTGCCGCTGCGCCCGGAACAGGGAAACTGGGCGAACTGGCTCTCCTAGCCGGCTGCCCGCCTGTGGGTCGCCGAGGAGCGCGTGCAGGGAGCCCCCGGCCCTCGGTGCGGCGGGAGAGCCGCGCCCGGTGCGCCCATGTTCCCCGGCGGTGTTTCTGCCGCAGCCTCCTCACATCCCTTGCGCTTCCTGCCCAGCGAGGGCAGGGCTGTGGTCGGGCTCCCGACCCAGGGAGGGGTGTCTGGGCTGGCGCCGAGCGGTGCCGGGGTGACAGCGCCGTCCTCCCCCCGCCCCCCGCCCCCTCCCCCCGGGACGGGTGAATCAGGAATCCCAACAGCCCTGGTAAGTCGCGGGGAGGCAGCCCCGAGAACTACCGGGCCTGAGGGCACCTAGAGCCACGAATGTGGCTGTCAGAGAAGGTCCCGTCTAGTTATTTCTTCTTTTACCCTGTAAAAAAAATCTTGAAATACGATCTGCGCTCAGAATTGCACAATCGTGAGTGTGCAGCTTACCCGGCTTTCACACAGTGAACGTTTTCTGTGCAACCCGCGTCCAGGGTCAATAAGACAGCACGGGCCCCCCAGCAGCCCTGTGTCCACTTCCAGTGATGGCGTTCATCTAAGGGGAACTGTTATCCTGGCTTCTCACATCAAAGTGTACTTGGTTTTGGACTTTTGATAATATGGGCTCCTGTACCTGCTTTTGGTGTCGGGTACTTCAGTCTCAGCCTGTGAGATGCAGCCATACTGCACTTAGCAGTGGCTCATTTATCTCAACTGACCTGTAGTTTTGCACTGTGCAATTTATTTCTACTTTCTGCTGGACACTTGGGTTGATGGACGTGGGCTGTTTCCAGTTTGGGTTTTTGTTTTTTTTTTAAACAGTACTGGGAGGATTCTTGTGGCTGTCTCTTGGTGGACATATGTAGCAGCTCTGTTGGGTATATTCCTAACAGTGGAATTGCTGGGTGTGTTTCGGTTCAGCTTTAGCATACTTTAGTGCCAAACGGCTTTCCAAAGTGGTTGTACGAGTTTACACTCCCACCAGCAGTGAGTTCCTATTCCTCAACATCCTTAACAATACTTGATATTGTCTTTTTTCATTGTAGCCATTCTGTTCAGTGTAGGCAGTGCTGTTGCACTGAGGTTTTAATTTGCATTTCTCTTATGACTAATGAATCCGCATCTTTTCGTGCCTATTGGACATTTGGGTATCATTTTTGCCAAGTGTTCTTCTGCCCATTTTTTTCAGTAGATTGTCTCTTTCTTACTGGTTTGCAATAGTTCTTAAATATTCTGGTTATGAAACATTTATTGGATATGCATTTTTGAAATCTCTTCTCAGGAGATTGCATTTTCACTCTTTTGAAGATGTCTTTTGAGGAACAAAAGTACAAAAGTTCTTCATTTTCATCTTGCCCAATTTATCTTTCCCCCCCTCCTCCTTGTATGGTTGTGTTTTTTATGATCAGTTGAAAAAAAACCTTTGCTTACCCCACGGGGTAGTGGGTGGGCATGAGTGAAGGTGGTCAGATCAGAAGGTACAAACTCCCATTATAAAGTAAAGAAATCCTGGAGATGTAACTCTACAGCATGGTGACTAGAGTGCAAAACTGTATTGCATATTTGAAGGTTGCTAACAGAGTGGATTTATTCTCATCACAAGAAAAAAATGTGTAACTGTGTAGTGATGGATGTTAGCTAGACTTACTGTGGTGATCATCTCAGCATATATATATATTTATCAGATGATTGTATTGTGCACCTGAAACTGTTATATGTCAATTACATCTCAATTTTAAATAATCAGAAGGTAAAGTCAGGAAGATAATCTCCTGTATTTTCCTCAAAAGCTTTATTGTGATTCTCACTTGTATCTACCATCCATTTGAAATTAAGTTTTTTGTATGGTGTGAGATATGGGCTAAGATTTATTTTTTTCCACAAGCCTATCAAAATTGATGCAGCACCATTTTCCCCAATGCATGGCAGTGTCAGCCTTGTCATAAATCAGGAGACTATGGATGGGAGTCTGTTTTGGATACCCTGTCCTTCTGTCCACCCTGTGTACTTGTGCGCCAATATATGATAGGTGTTGATTATTCTGGTGGTGGAAGCTCTCAGCATTGTTTTTCTTTAAAATCTTAAGGTTTTTTTTTTTTTTTAAATCTAACTATGCCTCCCAAAGCCCTTTAGAAATATATATAAAAAGGAAAAAATGTATAAAAAGTAGTCATTTTGTAAGCTCAATAGGGCACTAATGTAAAGGTTATGCAGAATTTGTAAACCATATCCATCCATAAAGTTACTGCTGACGCAATCTATAGTACATCCAGTGCTGTGTATCTACATCAGATCTACTGCAAAGTAAATACAAATTTGCATCCTTTTAGTTAAAATGAGCTTTAGTACCTATAGGATTCTGTTTCAGAACAAAGAGAATTTTTTTAAAAAGATTTATTTATTTGACAGAGCGAGTGAGGGAGAGAGCACAAGTAGGAGGAACGGCAGAGGGAGGAGAAGCAGACTCCCTGCTCAGCATCCCAGGCCCCTGGGATTTGAGGCTCCAATTCGAGGCTCCATCCCAGGCCCCTGGGATCACGACCTGATCCAAAGGCAGATGCTCAACCAACCACTGAGCCATCCAGGCGTCCCTATAATTAAATTTTTAAAAATAGGTGCTGTTATACACACACATGCACATGTATATACTTTCTGACATTTTTAAAGTCTTCAAGATTTACAAAATATAGTGTTGAAAGCATGTGTGCCAGCGAACATGATTTATTTTAATGCAGGTCATAAGACTTTAGTTAATCAACCAGAATTCGGTGACTGTTTTCTGCCTGCTAGAGTCCCATCTTAAATTTCACTTTATAGTAGAGTCAGTCATTTGGAATTTATCTCATAAATTCAATCCCAAGATTTACTGGGCTGCTTTCAATCATTTCACTGCTTATAAATGTTAAGTAACAATATAAATTGAGACTAGTGGCTCCTTGTTTCAAAGTTTCCTAGACAGCTCTTCAAAAACAGATTCTCAGGCCCCATTTCTGAAATACTGAATAAGGTTTTCCAGGAGTATCTCTCCCTCCCTCTCTCTCTCTCTATATATATATATATATATATACACACACACACATATATATATATATATCTACATATATATATATATATATATCTTTTGAGTATCTGTATTTTTTTAAAAGCTCTCTAGGTGATAATGATATGCAGCTTGGTTTGAGAACCACAGACATAACCCATTAGACCAATCTTTTAGGTACATCAGAATCCTGGGGTGCGTGTTTAAAAATCAATTTCCCAAGCTTTACCCAGAGATTTACTTTAGTAAATTTGGGAACGGGGCACGGGAACTGGCATTTTATTTATTTATTTATTTTTCTGGAACTGGCATTTTAAACCATAACTGCAGTTAGTCCCTTCCCTGTATTTGTTTTCTGGGCTGCAAAACAAATTACCACAAATGCAGCAGTATACACCAACACCTATTTATTATCTCATAGTTTCTGTGGGTCAAGGGCCCAGGCAAAGCTTAGCTGAGTCGTCTGCTGGGGTCTGACCTGGCCTCAGTCCAGGTATTAGCAGTGGCTACAGTGCCACTGGGGATCCAAATGGGGAAGAATCTACTACCAAGCTTCCATAGGTTGTTTCTGTTGGCAGAATTAATCTCCGTGTTTTCTTGCTGGCTGTCAGCTGGAGATCACTTCTCCTCTAGAGGTTACTTCTAGAGATCATGCAGCTTCTAGAGGCTGCGCAATTTCTTGACACTGACCCTCTCACAACACAACTGGCAAACTGTTCAAAGTCAGTAAATGAATCTCTTTCTAGTCTGCTAAGATGAATTTAAACACACACCCACGTTCATATGTCAGTATGACACAATATTCATATATATGCTATATTCACATGTACACATCTTTTTTTTTTAATACATTTTTATTTTAAGTAATCTCTACACCCAATGTGTGGCTCAAATTCAGGACTCCAAGTTCAAGAATCATACGTTCGGTTCAACCGACTGAGCCAGCCAGGCACTCCACATGTTCACATCTTACTAGTAAATAAATACACACAGTGTATGTATATATACATATAAATGCATATACACACATACACCTCCTGTATACAGTAATGTAACCAGGTGAGAGACATTCCATAATCTTTGCCATATTCAATTGGTTACAAGTTATGAGTCTGGCCCACACTTGCAGGTGCGAACATGGGGGGCCACCCTAGGGCTTGTCTACTAGTCTGCAGACCACTCTTAAAACACAGTATTGTATCTATCAAGTTATTAACAATTAAACTGAGCATTGTAAGTGACACTGCTCTGCAAGTCCTAACAATCCTGCCCAAGAAGTATTTTAGCAAATGTTTGAGAAGCAAACTTAACCTTCTTTTTTTTTAAGATTTATTTATTTTATTCAGAGAGAGAGAGAGAGAGAGAGAGAGAGAGTCAGAGACACAGGTAGAGGGAGAAGCAGGCTCCATGCAGGGAGCCCGATGTGGGACTCGATCCCGGGTCTCCAGGGTCACACCCCAGGCTGCAGGCGGCGCTAAACCACTGTGCCACTGGGGCTGCCCCAAACTTAACCTTTTTTTTTTTTTTTAAGATTTTTTATTTTATTCATTCATGAGAGACACAGAGTGAGAGAGAGAGAGAGAGAGAGAGAGAGAGAGAGAGAGAGAGAGGCAGAGACACAGGCAGAGGAGAACCAGGCTCCATGCAGGGAGCCCGATGCGGGACTCAATCCTGAGTCTCCAGGATCACGCCCCGGGCTGCAGGCTGCACGAAACCGCTGCACCACCGGAGCTGCCCCAAACTTAACCTTCTTAAAGTCAAAATCAAGTGTAAGGATAATTTATTGATCAAAGAAGTGAAAAACTATTTCAAACAATTTTTAAATCTTTAAAGAGACCAGCCTTTAGCACTCAGATTCAATGCTTCTTCAGTTCACTAGCATGACCTACAAAGATAGTTTAATAGTTTACTACTGCTTCTGTAACAAATCACCAAAGACATAGTGGCTTAATATGACATTTATTAGTTTACAGTTGTGGCAGTCAGAAGTCTAAAATGGATCAGTAGGGCTATGTTCCTTCTGAATGCTCTAAAGAATCAATGTACTTGCCTTTTCCAGCTTCTAGAGGCTGTCTGCATTCCCTGCTCATGGCCCCACAACCTCTGTTGTCACTTCTCTCACCTTGACCCTCCTGCCTTCCTCTTAAAAGGAGGATTACATTGAGCCCTCTCTGATAATCCAGGATATTCTTCATATCTCAAGATCCTTAATCCTGGGGATCCCTGGGTGGCTCAGTGGTTTAGCACCTGCTGTTGGTTCAGGGCATGATTCTGGAGTCCCAGGATCGAGTCCCACATCGGGCTCCCTGCATGGAACCTTCTTCTCCCTCTGCCTGTGTCTCTGCCTCTCTCTCTGTGTCTCTCATGAATAAGTAAATACAGTATTTGGGGGGGGGGGGGGAGAGATCCTTAATCTCATCTGCAAAATCTATTTTTGCCATGGAAGGTAGCATATACACTGGTTCTAAGGATTAGGATGTGGACATCTTTATGGGACTGTTATCTTGTCCACCACAGACAGTGATTCCAGCTTAACAGAAATGTAATATGAATTATATAAGATACTTATTCTAAAATTGTATGTCTTCATAGGTTTCAGTACTTTCCCTGTAAAATAGATGTTGGAGACCTGTTAGGTATTGGATAATACTTAATACACTTTGTTTTGTACAGTGAAACTTTGTAATATTTCCCTCAAATAATATATTCCTACATATAATACTGCAAAAGCATGCTAAAAAACATTAAAGGTATCATGCTGTTGCTTTTTTTTTAAAGATGCTTTTACTAGTTTTCTTTTTATTATTTTTTTAAAGATTATTTATTTATTTATTCATGAGAGACATAGAAGGAGAGAAAGGCAGAGACACAGGCAGAGGGAGAAGCAGGCTCGATGGAGGCAGCCCGACGTGGGACTCGATCCCAGGTCTCCAGGACCACACCCCGGGCTGAAGGCGGCGCCAAACGGCTGAGCCACCAGGGCTTCCCTTTTACTAGTTTTCTATCAAGCCTTTGTAATTATCTACAAAGTAGGTGTTTATGGGGGATCCCTGGGTGGCTCAGCAGTTTGGCGCCTGCCTTTGGCCCGGGGCGTCGGTCCTGGAGTCCCGGGATCGAGTCCCACATCGGGCTCCCTGCATGGAGCCTGCTTCTCCCTCCTCCTGTGTCTCTGCCTCTCTCTCGCTCTCTCATAAATAAATCTAAAAAAAAAAAAAAAAAAGTAGGTGTTTAGGTATATGTCATTTTACTTTATGAAGTTTTTAAAGATTTTATTTATTCATGAGAGACAGAGAGAGAGAGAGAGAGAGAGAGAGAGAGAGGCAGAGACACAGGCAGAGGGAGAAGCAGGCTCCATGCAGGGAGCCCAGTGTGGGACTTGACCCTGGATCCCGGGTTCACCCCCCACCCTGTCCCCGCCCTTGGCCAAAGGCAGAGGCTCCACTGCTGAGCCACCCAGGGATCCCTTTATGAAGTTTTTAAAAACATAAGGAAAAGGGACTAGACCTAAGGCCACACAACGAATCCAAGGCTAAACAGAACTAGTGATTAGACCTTCCATTTGGAGATTCAGGATCAGTCTTCTGTTTGACAACGACACGTCCTCCATCCCAGTATATGACTAGTACTAAATCTTGTAAAGGTTAAAGCATATTTGGTGTGATAGCTCATAGTTTCAAGTAGACAGTGTAGAGGGTTAATGGAATTTATCTGCCATCTTGCTCAATTATCCTATGTCAAAGATGCTGTTTTTTCCTGTATTTAAACTTTTCCATAGCATTAGTCACAAGGGCTTATACCAACACACTTATAGTGGGATATGCCTTCAGGCAACTGGATTGCTTCTTAACCAAGCGATGAAAAAGGCAATTACCAAAAACCAGCATCTATGTATGGCCAAATGGGCAAGTCACACCATAAAATGAGAAACTGAAACTTTTAACCTACATCTGTTAAGAGTATGATGTTAACTTCTAATCTTTAAACTACATTAAGAGTATCAAACGATTCTCCAGTTTGTAAGTCTGTCAAAGCCAAATAATGAATTTTGAAAATTAAAGCAAAATTGACAAAATATTTAAAAAATATAAAAACCCAGAAACATTATGTCTATTGCTGGGGGATAAGAAAGGACATCTCGAATGGCTGAAATGAAGATGCTAAGGGACAGCCACCCTAGACCTGGAAAAGGATTTCAAAATCGATGGTTATCGGGCACTGCCTTAACTTCAGCGTACCACTCAGGCTGTCTGAAACCCAAAGAATAGGAGGTGGGAAAAGAAACACATACATGCCAATGTTCCCTGTTTCATGTCCCCTTGGCTGGCCTAGCAGCCAACTGCTCTTCTCTTTCAAGTTGTCTCTGGATCCTGTGCCCACTGCACTTCTTCTTTCTGTCCCCTTGCTGCAGTGGTTTAAGTTCTTTTTTTTTTTTTTTTTTGAACTTTGATACAGTTTCATGAATCATCAGTAACACATCTGATTGTCACAGGCTTGGCATAAAGGTGTATAGCATTTAGCAGTGAGTAGAGAATCATCCTCAACATTAAATAACATTCTTTCAATTTGAAAATTTATGTTTTTCACAAAATAAGTTGTTTTCCTGTGAGTTCCTGCGGTCTGTTTTGACCTCTGTGGATAGGTCAGAGTGAGAAAGCAACTCTCTGCCCACTGCTCCAGCTCTGGAGCCAAGTCTTGACCAGCTTTTCATGTCAGGAATGTTACTGAAACACTGAGACTCCAACCTCAGAGGAGGGAGGGCTCTGCTCCACATAGTGTCCTCTCAGAAACCTAAGCTGAAAGAGACTCCACCAACAGGGACATCTTGGTCATTGTGGGAAGGAAACATAATTTGCCCACTGAAGAGATGCTTGGTCCTCTCATTTCCATATAAATTTAGAAGCAGTTTGACGATCCCCACCCCCCTACAAAAAAAAAAATTCCATAATTTGGATAACACTGATCTTAAGATTAGTTTGGGCAAAATTACAATTCTGAGTCTTCTAAACCATGAACATAATATATCCCTCCAATCTCTCAATTATTTAAAATACATACTAACCCATACTATTTTCTGAACATTATATGCCATGAATCATTAGCATTTTACATAACTTATGTTCACAATAAAGCTGCAAAGTCCTAGTTTTATTTTTTATTTTATTCATGAGAGACACAGAAAAAGAGAGGCAGAGACACCGGCAGAGAGAGAAGCAGGCTCCATGCAGGGAGCCCAATGTGGATCTCGATCCTGCAATACCAGGATCATGCCCTGGGCTGAAGGTAGGCCTTCAACCGCTGAGCCATCCAGGTGTCCTGAGAAGTCTAGTTTTATTTCCATTTCAAGGACAGAGAAGCCAAAACTTAGCAAGATTAAGTAGCTTACCAAAGAACACAGTTAAGAGGTGAGAATCCAGGCATTCTGCTGGTAGTCTGTAGACTTCATTATGTGACACTACCTCCCTGAGCTGATGGGTAAGGGAGAAGGGAAAGGAGGGAGAGAGGGGTGTTTCAATGGGCCGATGGATAGGTGGATGGAGGAACTATTTAGGGGAAGGTAGACTAGAAGAAAAGTCTCCCAAGGTTTCTTGCATGTGCTATTACCCAGCATCTGTCTATCTGGGTACATAATTATTTGTCCTCCAATTTCAGCATTGACACAGGAAGTCCTTGTTTGTTTGTGAAACTATTTCTCCTTCTACTTTGAAGGATAGTTTTGTTATCCTGGATAGAGTATTTGTGACTGGAGATTTTTTTCCCTCCCAGCTCTTTGAATATATCATGCCTTCTGGCTTGGAGAGTTTGTGCTAAAAATCTGTGACTAGACTTACGGGTTTTCCCTTGTAAGTAACCATCTCCTTTTGTCTTGCTGCTTTTAAGATTTTTTTTCCCCCTTATTACCATATTTTGCCAGTTTAATGATAATACGTTGTGGTGTGGATCAGCCTTTGTTGGGGGTTCTCCGAGTCTTGGATCTGGATATCTGTTTCCTTCCTCAGATTAGGGAAGTTTTCAGCTATTATTTCTTCAAATTTTCTGCCACCTTTTCTCTCTCTTCTCCTTCTGGGATCCCTAGAATACGAATGTTTATCGTGTGTTATTTGATGGAGTTACTGAGTTCCCTAAGTCTACCCTTGTTTTGCGTAATCCTTTTTTTGTTGTTGTTGTTCAGTTTGCTTACCTTCTGTTACTTTATCTTCTGTGTCAATAATTTGTTCCTTTGCTTCTTTCATCCTGTTGTTCATTGCATTCCTCCTGTTTCCAACCTCATTTATTGGCAACTCTCTTACCTCTCAACAATCCTGTCTTATCTGTGCCACATTGGTCTCCGTGAAGCCTTCGACTGCCATCTCAAGTCCACACAGCATCCTTACGAGTGGTCCTCTAAATTCTCATTTAGATTCTATCAGACAGGGATCCCTGGGTGGCGCAGCGGTTTAGCGCCTGCCTTTGGCCCAGGGCGCGATCCTGGAGACCCGGGATCGAATCCCACGTCGGGCTTCCGGTGCATGGAGCCTGCTTCTCCCTCTGCCTGTGTCTCTGCCAATCTCTCTCTCTGTGTGACTATCATAAATAAAAAAAAAAAAAAAAAATTAAAAAAAAATATATCATTTAAAAAAAAAAAAAGATTCTATCAGACATCCTTACTTCTGTTTTTCTTATTCTGGCCATGGCCTTATTTTGTCCTTTCTCTTGGTATAAATTCCTCTGTGTTTGCATTTTTGTCTGAGTCTCCGCCTCCTTCTCCGTTGTTAGAAAAAGCCAGTTGTTTCCTGCTCCTGAAAGCGACGGCCTCGTGAAGGAGGGGTCGTGTAGGGCCCGCGCGCGGCCTGGCTTCTCGTTAGTGTGTCTGGTGTGTGCGGGGTGCACCGTGCGGCTGCGTTTGGGCTGCCGCTCCCTTCACACCAGGCGTCTGCAGAGGCTCCGTGGCGAGTTTTAAGCAGGTGTGCTCTGGTTCGCTTGTTAGAGACCTGATGCTCCTTCCACGAGCGCTGAAGGCCGCGGGGCATCACGTCGGTAGACGCGGCGAGGGCAGGGGTTGGTGCAGGTGTTCTGGCGGAGGGGCCGCCGTGTGTGGGGGGCGGGCGGGGGGTTAGCGGGCCGCAGCCTGGCCCCGCGGAGCTGCCGGGGCTGCTGGCCCTGCCGCGGCCGGCCTCTGTTCCCGGACGGGAGTCTCCGCTCGGCGAACGCGGCCACGCCCCAGGCGCCCCTCGCACGCCCGCGTCCCGTCCTCTGCCCTCTCTCCGGGAGCAGCGCCGCGCCCGCGGGGCTCTACCGCAGCCGAGTGCTCCGGCCTTCAGGCCTCCGGGCGGGCCGCAAAACCTCGCAGACCCCCGCCCCCCTCACCTCCACAGCCCGGCGCTCTGGGGCCGGTTCTCCGCGCGCTGAGCCTCGGCACTTCCCGCCGACCTCGGTGTGGCCGCTTCTCCCCCTGCAGGTGCGGGGTGTGTCCTCCCGGCGATTCCCGGGGGGGGGGTCCTCGGGGCGGCTCCAGAGCCCCCTCGCCGTGTGCCCGCGCCGGCCGCGAGCCGGGACGCTGCTGCGCGGCCGCCATCTTCCCCGCCCTCCCGCCCCGGAAGTGCGCGTCCAGAGCTTCCGGCCGGCTGCCCCGCCCCCGAGCCCCAGGTGCGCCGGCCAGGTGCGGCGGCGGCGGCGGCGGCGGCGCGTCCCTAGCGCAGCGTCCCTCGCGCAGCTGCCCTCCCTCGCGGAGCTCCCAGACCTGCCGCCGTGGCAGAGGTGGGACGGGGTAGGGAGGGAGGCCGAGCCTCTGTCCGGCACCGGGAGAGAACATCTCGGGCCCACGCGCTGGGACAGAGTAAGTTAAGGACACCTTTTGTGATCCCCTCTCTCCGTCTCTTCCAGGATGGCTGTTCCCTAAGGTCAAGACTGAGCCCCCTCCCTTCTCTCGCTTTACCAATGCCTGGTCTCATGGGGTCAGTTTTGAGCCCAACACTATGGCATCGTCAACCTCCTTCCCAGCTCCTCGCTCCCGGTCCAGGAAGCCTGTGGGCAAGGTGGCTGGTGAGTGGAAGCCGACTCCTCCTCCCTCCGCTCTTGTTCGTGGCGATGGGCGAACTCCTCCGTGTTCCTGTGGGCCACGTGGCAGGGCTGCCCGGCCCTAACGCGGCAGGAGGTGCAGGAAGGCCGACGATGGTGGGCGCTGGCCTTGACCTCAGAGCCCAGGTGTTCGTGGTGAGCGAGGGGAGAGGCACGCACCAGAACCTTCAGTCCTTTGGGCCCACAGCTCTTCCATGTGCGCTCCGCTAATTTTCCCAACATGGAAACCTGGGTGCTGAGCACGTGGCATTATGTTTCTTGTCATCTAAGTCCTTCAGAACCATTCAGAGGAGGGAGCGAAGCAGAGTGAGAAAAATCAACCTCCAGAACACTGAACTCTGTGACCTTACCAAAAGCTGGGGAAGCTGAGGGATACCGTATACCAGACACTGCATTGTTTCAGTTATCCTTCAACAACATTTTTTTTTTTAAGATTTTATTCATTTGTTCATGACAGACACACAGAGAGAGGCAGAGACACAGGCAGAGAGAGAAGCAGGCTCCATGCAGAGAGCGCGATGCAGGACTCGATCCCAGGACCCCGGGATCACAAGCTGAGCGGAAGGCAGATGCTCAACCGCTGAGCCACCCAGCTGCCCCCTCAACAATTAAAATGAATCTGTTACAGATGAGGAAATGGAAGATATAGAGCTGCAGGCTGCAGGTTCACAATGAGATCTATGCCTGGCTCTAAAGTACAGGCTGAATCACTAGGCTCTCTGCTCTTCGGGAGCTCTGAGCAGTAACCCTCTTCCTTGCTTTTGTTTTATCATTCAGAAACAATCTGAGATTTCTCAGGGCCAAATAGATGCCAGTCCCTCTCCTCTTTCCCTCCCATAACGGGTAGCCTACCTTAATCTAAATCCACCTCCCCTCACTGCAGAAAGTGGGTTTGGGAACTGATTGATCCTTACCAGCTTAACACGGCTCTACTTACCAACTAGCAGATGGCTGGTTAGCACTAGCTGGAAGTTCTGGGCAGAATAAGCCTCTGGAATAGGGCAAAGACATCTTTCCTAATCAGGCTGGTGAAAGTCAGACTTATTTCCTTTCCTCTCCGCCCCCCCCCCCCAATATTGTTGTTATACCAAAGGTGTTTTGTTTATTTAATTATTGAAGTATAATTGACATACAACATTATATTAGTTTCAGGGGTACAATATAATGATTCATTCAGTATTTGTAAATATTGTGAAATGATCACCACAAGATTTAGTTAACATCCATTACTATAGATAAAGAACTTTTTTTTTCTTGTAGTGAGAACTTTTAAGGTTTCCTCTCTTGACAGCTTTGTAATATGGAATACAGTATTATTAACTATAGCCAGTATGCTTATATATTGCATTCTCATGACTCATAAAACAGCCAGAGTTTTTATGACTTCTGCAAACCTTTAAAGATAATGGAGCCTTTTTTTTTTTTTTTTAAAGATTTTTTTTTTTTAATTTTTTTATTTATTTATGATAGTCACAGAGAGAGAGAGAGAGAGAGAGAGGCAGAGACACAGGCAGAGGGAGAAGCAGGCTCCATGCACCGGGAGCCTGACGTGGGATTCGATCCCGGGTCTCCAGGATCGCGCCCTGGGCCAAAGGCAGGCGCCAAACCGCTGCGCTACCCAGGGATCCCGATAATGGAGCCTTTAAGGCAAGTCTTGAAGCATGTACAAAATAGCAGAGCAGCAGGTCTCTGAGAGAGTAAGGTGGCATGGTTTGCCAGTGTGGGGAGATGGGTGGGCCTGCCTGGGTGGGGTCCTCTGTGCAAGGCCATGAGGACGCAATCTGGTAAGAATACCCGGCCCAAGCAGTGTTTCTGTCTCCACAGACTGGTTCAGGCAGGTCCTGTCGAAGACCTCCAAGAAGCTGTCTGACTCTGCAGAAAGTACCTCCAGTGATGTTTCACAGCCCAGGTCCAAGGACAACCCCCCACCCCTGGGCCTCAGCTCAGCCGTGTCTCCCAACTCCCCATCAACACATGTGGGTGCCAGCAGCAGCAGCAGCAGTGGCAGTAGTGGCCGCTGGAGCAAGGACTATGATGTGTGTGTGTGCCACAGTGAGGAGGACCTGGTGGCTGCCCAGGAGCTGGTCTCCTACCTGGAGGGCAGCACGGCCAGCCTGCGCTGCTTCCTACAGCTTCGGGATTCGACCCCAGGCGGTGCCATCGTGTCCGAGCTGTGCCACGCACTGAGCAGCAGTCACTGCCGTGTACTGCTCATCACCCCGGGCTTCCTGCAGGACCCATGGTGCAAGTACCAGATGCTACAGGCCCTGAGTGAGGCCCCTGGGGCAGAGGGCCGCACCATCCCCCTGATGTCAGGCCTCACCAGAGCTGCCTACCCTGCTGAGCTCCGGTTCATGTACTTTGTGGACGGCCGGGGACCCGATGGTGGCTTTCACCAAGTCAAGGAAGCTGTCATGCGCTGTAAGCTATTGGGGAGGAAAGAGAAAGGAAAGGTGGCTCGGCCACAGCAGCTGATCTACTTTGGCTTTAGGGACACAGCCACTGTAGCCCAGTAGCTCAGAATGCAGGCTCTGGAAAAGGCTGTTACTTGTGGAAGTCATTTGACCCCTTTGTATGTGGATTTCCCCATTGGTAAAATGAGAATGATACTAAGTACCTAAATAAGTATATTCACTATACAAGTGATCAGATCAGGCCCTGCACCTGTAAAGTACTCATAACAGGCAAAGCCTTCCACATACCAAGTTCTCAATAAATATCAGCTGTTATCATTATAAGTATCACTAGTATTAGGTTTCTCTCACGGAAGTCAGGTTGATGTCCACCCAGAGCCAGGAAAATGCCAGGAGGGACACTGGCTCTTAGTAAGGCAAAATGGTGCAAAATAATAGAAAAGAATTATGTATCTGGGGGTGGGGGTGGGCATTACATTACAATCGGTTTGGAAGTAGAATAGATGAAAAGGTAGAAGAGGCAAGGCCTACTGGGGGAAATAGATGCTGGGATTTGGGAAGGGTGACAAGCCCTGTGATTCTGTTTGCTCTTTCAGATCTGCAGACCATCAGCTGACATTTCTTACATCACCACGGAACCCAGAAAGTTGGAGTGAAGCTGGAAATCGAGTTAGAGAGCTCAGGGCCCACAGGGTCTTGGATTCCAGCAGATGTGACGAGGTGTAAGGAAACAGAGTTTGTAGCACTTTATATGTGATCCTGGGGTCAGATTGCCCATCAGACACCCCTTACTGTGGGCTCCCCAGGAAGGTCATGGGGAAGCTGGGGACTCCCCCAGGAAGGTCATGGGGAAGCTGGGGACTCCCCCAGGAAGGCATGAGGAAACTGGGGACTCCCCAGGAAGGCCATGGGGAAGCCAGAAATTGTAGGTGGCAGGAGGTCCAGATACCAAGATGATCACCAGTGTTTTGCCTCTTGTCTAACTGGACACATGACGCCTGGCATGTACCTACATCTTCTTCCCCTAGAGTTGGCTGCTATAAAGATACATCCCCCCCTGAAGAGGTGACTCACCTGGTTCTTTCATGACCTAGAAGCCTACACTGCATGCTTCAGCAGGGATGGTTTCACCAGTTGCTTGGCATTAGGAGAAAGCAACAGGTACCAAGTCCTTCACACACTACTGCCCTTCTCTTTCCCGGTGACATTGTTCACTTCACAAGGCTACATGAAAGATGCACTCAGCACCGTACTGTATTTATTTCTATTCCGTGTGTATCACAGACCTAGAAAGCATCCTGAATTAGGATGTGGGCAGGGAGCAGGTGGGGTGAAGAAAAGGAAAAGCTCAGCCCCTAGCCCTGGGTCAGGAGCCACCCACCGATGCTTTGACTCACGGGGGCCCCATCAAATGTCTGACTAGAACTCGGGCTTCTACAAGCTTCTTTACCTCTGTACTAAGGGAGCTCAGCAGCTTTCTTCTGGCCAATGATTGTGTACCTTGTAGGACAAAGTTTCATTCGTCTGCTCTCAATAAGTCTGTTGTTGAACCGAAATGAACTTTTTCCCCAATCTGTAGTTGTATGCCTCTTCTCTCACTTCCCCCTGCCATGTTCCCTCCTTTCACAGAGACATCTATTTGAGATATAATTAACATATTAACATTAGTTTCAGGTGTAAAACATGAGTTGGCATTTGTATATATAATGAAAAAAATTTGAATTATGGATTATTTCATTACATACAAAAAAGTTATAATGTTCACTCATGTATCTTCCACGCAGCTTAAGAAGCAAAACCTTGCAATCCTGATGGTGCTGCCTTTGTGTGCCCTTAATCCCCTTCTCTCCCTTCTCTTCTGAGATTTAGCATTCTGAATTTTTAATTTTATCACTGATAGCTTTTCATTTATACATCCCTGACAACATGTTTATCTTTACATGGTTTTGTGCTGTATGTAAATGGCATTATAATGTTTGTATTCTACAAATTTTTCATTTACGACATAACAAGATTTATCGATGTGGATGTATATAACGCCAGGAAATTCACTTTTGTTCCAGTATGTAAACAGACCACTATTTAGCCACATTCTTTTTTTTTTTTTTTTTTTAAGATTATTTATGAGAGAGAGAAAGAGAAGCGGGCTCCATGCAGGGAGCCCCACATGGGACTGGATCCCGGGACTCCAGGATCACGCCCCCCGGCCAAAGGCAGGCGCTAAATTGCTGAGCGACCCAGGCATCCCCTTAGCCACATTCTTTTGCAAACGGACATTTAATTGTTTCCCATTTGTTGCTATCAAAGTGAATGAGCTTATGAATAATTTGTACATGTTTCCATGAATATTTTTGTACATGTTTCCATGAGCGAGATTTTCTAGGATTTAGCCTAGATGAGGAACAGCTGGGTAGTAAATACACATCTTCAGTTTGGGTAGAAAATACCAACTTTGTTTCCAAACTGGTTTTGTCAATTTATATTCCTACCATTTGTGTATAGGATTTCCCACTTTTTCATGTTCTAACACTTAATCATCAGATTGTAAAATGTTTGCTGATCTGGCGGGTGAAAACTGGTATCTATTGCCATATTCTTTTTTTCTTTTTAGCCTTTTTTTTTTTTTAATTTGTTTTTTTTTTTTTTTTTAAAGTGTCCTTTTTTTTTTTTTTTTTTTTTTTTATTTATTTACGATAGTCACAGAGAGAGAGAGAGAGGCAGAGACACAGGCAGAGGGAGAAGCAGGCTCCATGCACCGGGAGCCCGATGTGGGATTCGATCCCGGGCCTCCAGGATCGCGCCCTGGGCCAAAGGCAGGCGCCAAACCGCTGCGCCACCCAGGGATCCCTTTTTTTAATTTGTGATAGTCAGAGAGAGAGAGAGAGAGGCAGAGACACAGGCAGAGGGAGAAGCAGGCTCCATGCACCGGGAGCCCGATGTGGGATTCGATCCCGGGTCTCCAGGATCGCGCCCTGGGCCAAAGGCAGGCGCCAAACCGCTGCGCCACCCAGGGATCCCCTTTTTAGCCTTTTTTATGAAAAATTCTATGTATATCATATACCAAAGGGGAATAGAAAAATCTGATGAATTCCTTGTATACCCATCACCCAGCTTCAACAGTTACCAACTCAGCTTTGAAGCAAATCCCAGGCATTATTCCTGCGTATTAAAGCTATGTATGGGGGATCCCTGGGTGGTTCAGCAGTTTAGCGCCTGCCTTCCGCCCAGGGCGTGATCCTACAGTCCCGCATCGGGCTCCCTGCATGGAGCCTGCTTCTCCCTCTGCCTGTGTCTCTGCCTCTCTCTGTCTCTCATGAATAAATAAATAAAATCTTTAAAAAATAAAACTGAGTATGTTTTTAGGAGTCTTAAAAAAAAAATATATATATATATATACATATTTTTTAAAAAATAGAAAGCTTTATTTTTTTAATATAGAAGCTTTTACTTTTACCTCTTACTGTAACCTGTGCTTTTGTCTTATTTAGGAAATCCTTCCCCATTCCTATAATTTCTTCTGGAGTTATTTCCCATTTAGGTCTTTAACCCACCAGGATGTTTTGCTTGGGTTTGATTATGTTGTTGTTCTTGGTTTCTAAGTCAAAGGTCCAATTTGTTTTCCCATTTGAATTGCCATTCTTTACTAACTACTAGTCGTCCATCCTTTCCTCCCACCAGTTGTGATGTCACTGCTGCCATTATATTGTCACACGTGGGGGTCTCTTCTGTTTGTGTATCCTTGCATCAGTGACACGCTGGCTCACTTAACTATGGTTTTTAAGAAGTTTTAATGCCTATTAGTATTTTCATTGGTGTTAGATGAGAGATTAATTTGGGAAGAATTGGGTCTTTTATACTGAATCTTTCCATAAAAATGCTGTCTTCATTATTGATATCTTTACTTTTTTGTTTTTTATTTTTTTTTTAGATTTTATTTATTCGTGACAGAGAGAGAGAGATAGGCAGAGACACAGGCAGAGGGAGAAGTAGGCTCCGTGCAGGGAGCCTGCCGTGGGACTCAATCCCCGGTCTCCAGGATCACACCCCGGGCTGAAGGTGACGCTAAACCGTTGAGCCACCGGGGCTGCCCTATTGATATCTTTAAATGTAAAGTTTTATAATTAGTAACTTGTATTAGATATATTCCTTAGTACTTCATATTTTCTGTTGCCACTGTAAAAGGTACTTTTTTTTTTAATCTATTACTGGTAGAAAGGATCATAATTACTTTACATATTGATCTAATATTTAGCAACCTGCTGAATTACTTAAAAAACCACAGACTTTGTTGGGTTTCTATAAAGACAATCATATAATTTGCAAAACAAAACAAAAAACTTTAGTTCCTTGTCTTTTTTTGCTTCCTAGTACCACCAGCCAGTATGTTGAAAGTGACTATAGCTACTATCTTTGTTTCATTTATGCTTTTAAAGGGAATGCTTCCAAGTTTTCTCCATTAAATGTGATATTTGTTATCAATTTTTGGTTTGGCACAAATTTTCTTTAACAAGTTGTAAGTTTTCTGTTTCTGGTTAAGAGTTTTACTTATCATGCATGCATTTTAAATTTAGTCTACAATGTCCCCATCTACTGAGATGGTATGTTTTTCCCCCCTTTTAAATCAGTTAATATAATGAATAACATTCTTTTTTTTTTTTTGTTTAAAGATTATTTATTTGTGGGGAGGTGCAAGCACACAAAGAGGGAAAAGGAGGCTCCCCGCTGAGCAGGGACCTCCCTCCACCAAGGGGCTCTGTCTCAGGACCCCAAGATCATGACCTGAGCTGAAGGCACATGCTTAAACTACTGAGCCACCCAGGCGTCCCAATATTTGACTTCCTAATTTTTTTTAAGATTTTATTTATTTATTCATGAGAGACACAGAGAGAGAGAGGCAGAGACATAGGCAGAGGGAGAAGCAGGCTCCCTGCGAGGAGCCCAATGTGGGACTCAATCCCAGGACCCCAGGATCACGACCTGAGCCAAAGGCAGGTGCTCAACCACTGAGCAACCCAGGTGCCCCAGCAAATAACCTTAAATATCTTAGTCTCCTTTAGTGGGAGAGCTTTTGTTTTGTTTTTAATAGTTGGCCCTTTCGTTGAGGTTGTGGACCTTAGAGATCTTGGCCCTAAGGGAAATCCTCTCTTCTAATCCCTCACCTTGCACAAGCCCCAAGGGCTTGTCTCCCGTGCCTTAAACATCACATTGAAAATCCAAGGCTCTAGAAACAAGCAATCACTCTTAGAACTTAAGCTTCAGTGTCCACTTAACCATTCTATAGATTCATGCTCCCACATTTTTCATTTCTGAAAATTTAATTCAGAGAGCAGCAGTATAACCAAATGGATATTTTTAATTTTGCAGCCAGAATGTCAGGTGTTCTTAGCTGACCTGTTTTTAGAATATCTCATCTATCATAAGGCCTGAAATTTGGGAGAAGTTTTGAGATTCTTCAAGAAGACTGAAAGATTAATCCTTATTGACAGATGAAGTCTTGCCAGTAATAACCTAGTTATCTAACATAGTTAAACTTTCTGTGATCATAGTAATGATCCACATGTCTGTGCTGTCCAGTGTGATAGCCAGTCGCCATATGAGGCTATCAAGCATTTGAAACATGGCCACACGACCGAGGAACTGAATTTTTATTTTATCTAATTCTAAGTAATTCAAATGTAAATATCTCCATATAGCTAGTGGCTATTAGATGGGACAGTGCAGGGCCTTCTAATGTTTCCAAACAAATGGAACTAAAAAATGATCAACAGACAAATGCCTATGAGCCGAGTGAAGCCCTGTGGTGTTGCTGTAAAGGTCCGCTGCACTCTGCTGTCTGGTATTCTAATAGGTCCTCTTGGAGGCTGAGGCTTCCTAGGAGTTCGTCCTTTCCTTGAACCAGGACTTCTTACAACTGCAATTCTGACCTTACAAATATATTTTTTAAAATATTTTATTTATTCATGAGAGACACAGCGAGAGGCAGAGACACAGGCAGAGGGAGAAGCAGGCTCCATGCAGGGACTCCTGCAACGCGGATCTTGATCCTGGGACCTCAGGAACCTGGGCTGAAGTTAGGCGCTCAACCGCTTACCTAAATATTTAATTTTTTAAATTTTTTTATTTTTTTGAATTTTATAAATTATTTTTTATTGGTGTTCAATTTGCCAACATATAGAATAACACCCAGTGCTCATCCCATCAAGTGCCCCCCTCAGTGGCACCCAGTCACCGCCCCCCCCCCCGCCCACCTCCCCTTCCACCACCCCTAGTTCGTTTCCCAGGGTTAGGAGTCTTTCATGTTCTGTCTCCCTTCCTGATATTTCCCACTCATTTTTTCTCCTTTCCCCTTTATTCCCTTTCACTATTTTATGGTCAACTAATATTCAACAAAGGAGGAAAGACTATCCACTGGAAAAAAGACAGTCTCTTCAATAAATGGTGCTGGGAAAATTGGACATCCACATGCAGAAGAATGAAACTAGACCACTCTTGCACCATACACAAAGATAAACTCAAAATGGATGAAAGATCTTAATGTGAGACAAGATTCCATCAAAATCCTAGAGGAGAACACAGGCAACATCCTTTTTGAACTTGGCCACAGTAACTTGCAAGATTCATCCATGAAGGCAAGAGAAACAAAAGCAAAAATGAACTATTGGGACTTCATCAAGATAAGAAGCTTCTACACAGCAAAAGAAACAGTCAACAAAACTAAAAGACAACCTACAGAATGGGAGAAGATATTTGCAAATGACCTATCAGATAAAGGGCTAGTTTCCAAGATCTATAAAGAACTTATTAAACTCCACAGCAAAGAAACAAACAATCCAATCATGAAATGGGCAAAAGACAAGAGAAATCTCACAGAGGAAGACACAGACATGGCCAACGTGCACATGAGGAAATGCTCTGCATCACTGGCCATCAGGGAAATACAAATCAAAACCACAATGAGATACCACCTCACACCGGTGAGAATGGGGAAAATTAACAAGGCAGGAAACAACAAATGTTGGAGAGGATGTGGAGAAAGGGGAACCCTCCTGCACTGTTGGTGGGAATGTGAACGGGTGCAGCCACCCTGGAAAACTGTGTGGAGGTTCCTCAAAGAGTTAAAAATAGACCTGCCCTACGACCCAGCAATTGCACTGTTAGGGATTTACCCCAAAGATTCAGATGCAATGAAACGCCGGGACACCTGCACCCCGATGTTTCTAGCAGCAATGTCCACAATAGCCAAACTGTGGAAGGAGCCTCGGTGTCCATCGAAAGATGATGGATAAAGAAGATGTGGTTTATGTATACAGTGGGATATTACTCAGCCATTAGAAACGACAAATACCCACCATTTGCTTCGACGTGGACGGAACTGGAGGGTATTATCCTGAGTGAAATAAGTCAATCGGAGAAGGACAAACATTATATGGTCCTACATATTTTAATCACAATTATACCGGGGCAGCCTGGGTGGCTCAGCAGTTTAGCGCCGCCTTCGGCCCAGGGTGTGATCCAGGAGTCCCGCATCCTGCTCCCTGCATGGAGCCTACTTCTCCCTCTGCCTGTGTCTCTACCTCTCTCGCTCTGTGTGTCTCATGAGTAAATAAAATCTTTTAAAAAAAATAATCACAATTATAGCTGTGTTGGTGAATTTGCCACTAATGAATTAAATCTTTTTTTTTTAAATTAAATCTCTTAATTTCATTTTCTATTTATTCTTCGCTCACTACATTCCAGGCACAAGGGCCATTTTTGTTTCCAAAATGTGTTTAGTTCATTACTGCATTAGAGTCGTCAACATTCTGACATCTCTGTCTCAAATACATGTTCCCTGGTCTCTTCACAGGCTGGTTCCTTCTCATTGTTCAAATCTCAGTTCACTGTCACCTCCATGAGAAGCCACCCATGACCACCTTATCTCCTCCCTACCCCCAGGCTCTATCACATTGTCCTGTTTTACTCTATCACTCATTCATTATCTAAAATTATCCTATTTAGGGATCCCTGGATGGCTCAGCAGTTTAGCGCCTGCCTTGGGCCCAGGGCGTGATCCTGGAGACCCGGGATCGAGTCCCACATCAGGCTCCCTGCATGGGGCCTGCTTCTCCCTCTGCCTGCGTCTCTGCCTCTCTCTCTCTTGGTCTCTCATGAATAAATAAATAAATAAATAAATAAATAAATAAATAAATAAATAAATCTTTAAAAAAATAAAATTATCCTATTTGTTTACCTCATCTCTATTTGAATATGAATTCTATAAAAGTAGAGATTCCCCCTTGGCTTGTTCAGGATGGACAGTGTTTGACACAAAGAAAATGGAAGCCTAGAGACTAGAGTGACTTCCCCAAAGCTGCACAGCTGGTCAGTGTTGGGGCCAGACTTCATGGCTCCTAATCCTGGGCTCTTTTTGTTAAAACACAGATACTCTGCTTGAAGTACGCCTGGGTGGCTCAGTGGTTAAGCATCTTCCTTCGGCTCAAGTCGTGATCCCGGGGTCCTTGGATGGAGTCCCGCATCAGGCTCCCTCCGAGGGAACCTGCTTCTGCATCTACCTATGTCTCTGCCTCTCTGTGTCTTTCATGAATAAATAAAAATCTTTAAAAAAATGATACTCTGCTCAAATTCTCTTTCAGAGAGAGAAGAGAAAGAGAAAGGGCAAGAAGGGTGTGGGGATATGGGGAGGGGAGCAGGAAGCTGCTTAAGGCGTGGGGAAGGGGAGAGGAAAAAAGGGAAAGAGAATGCATACTTAGAAATTTCCATAAGAGCTATGCCTTGAATTTTGCTATAGCCATTCAACCACAAAAGACATTTGTTCTAGTCTTGCACATAGTTTATGACCTCCTACAGTATACTCTCAGAAGGTGGGGGATGTTATCCAGGACACTTGTGGACAAGCAGCATATGTTTTTGGCTGAAGATAATCATTCCAGATCCTAAGTCTCCCTACTAATCCTCTCTACTTCACAAAACCACTGCCCTTTTATCCAATTCATTCTATTTCTGGTAGAAAGAACCCAAAAAACAAATGGTCACTGACATACAGCACACTTTGTTATTGATGGACTGAAAATCGCAAAAATTGCCTCCTTCGATAGTTTTGTCTACCCAAACTCAAAGCTAACATGGGGAAAAAAACAGCACAATTTTTGACTGACTAAATTTGGAAAAATTGGTATCTGTCCAAAAACACCCGGGACTAGTTAGAAATAATAGCCACAAAAGAAATTATAAGTAAAAATCTTATGTGGCAAAAAAAAAAAATAAAGCACAGAAACTCTGACAGATGGTTCCTATTCAAGCTGCAAATCACATTTCTGTGCAGCACAGCAGACACAAGAACAAACTAGGTTAGCAGAGGAGACAGAAGCCTCCAGCCTGGAAGAAGAGGAGGTGATGGAAATGTATTCTGGGCCTCTACGCTTACCTTTCTTTTCAGCACTGAACACTATGAAGATTTCTGTGAAAATGGGTGAAAAATGGAAATGGTTTAATGACCCTCATAAAAAATCGACCAAGAAATAAGACTGGCTCAACAGATTGTTTCATAAACACTCCTTCCATGCTACCTAAGCAATGTGGGCATAATTCTCATTAAAATGTCAGTATTTGGGGATCCCTGGGTGGCTCGGTGGTTTGGTGCAAACTTCAGCCCAGGGCGTGATCCTGGGGTCCCGGGATCGAGTCCCGTGTCGGGCTCCCTGCATGGGGCCTGCTTCTCCTCTGTGTCTCTGTCTCTCTCTGTGTGTCTCATGAATAAATGGGTAAAATCTTTAAAATAAAATAAAATAAAATGTCAGTATTCAACCCAGGGTGTCAGGGGTCAAAGCATCCGCGTAGTCCAAGGGTGTTTCCCAGCTCCTGCTCCCCGGGGAGGCGGGGGTGGGGGTGGGGGGAGGGTGGTGCCCCCCCCCCCCCCTGCACTGCAGCATCGTTATCCGGCCTGGTTAGGGACTCGCTGTCTTCTTTTCTCTTCCCTCAGCACCAGTCTCAACTCAGACCCGGCAGCGCAAGGGGATACGGGGTAGCAGCTTGAATTAAGAAATGCTCCTCGCAGGGCAGCCCGGGTGGCTTAGCGCTGCCTTCAGCTCAGGGCGTGATCCTGGAGACCTGGGATCGAGTCCCACGTCGGACTGCTTGCATGGAGCCTGCTTCTCCCTCTGCTTCTCTTTCTCTGTGTATGTCTCTAATAAATAAAATATTTAAACAAAGAAAGGAAAAAAGAACGCTCCGCGCAGACAGGCCACAGAAACCCAGCGCTGGGACCATCTCCCCCGGAGCATGTCGGGAGTTGTAGTCCCCGCGCCCTGGCCGAGCGGGGCGGGGCCGCGGCTGGTGTTGGCGCATGTCGGGAGTTGTAGTCCCCGCGCCCTGGCCGGGCGGGGCCGCGGCTGGGGTTGGCGCAGGCGCACTGCTCCGGCCGGGCAGCATGGCGGACCTAGCCCCTCAACCCGGCAAGCGAAAGCGCGAACAGGACGCCGAGGAGGCGGCCACCGACCAAGAGCAAGCGGGCGTCGGGAATGGTACCTCCGCCCCGGTGCAGTTACCGTTCTCCGGCTTCAGAGTGGAAAAAGTGCTGAGGGAGTCCGCGAGGGACAAAATCCTTTTCCTGCACGGGAAGGTAGCCTCGGGCAGCCCGGGGCGGGTATGGAGGCCGCGGTGAGCCAATCGCCGCGCGGGCGGCGGGGTTTTTTTTTTTTGTTTTGATTTTTTTTTTTTTTTAACCGGAGCTCCACCGGATCTACCAATCACACTACGGGGAGGGTGGGGGGGGGTGGGTAGTACCGCTGGGCCGAGGACGGGGCCCACGGGAGACAAGTTTACCCGCAGCCTCTGGGCGGGAGCAGCCGGGGGGCAGGTCAACCTCCCCAAGTCCTCCTTGGCTACAGGTAACTCGCATTTGCACCGAGTGTTGCAGATTGAAGATCACGTGTGGAATTCTCCCAGCCACTCGTTATGGCTTCGTTTTCTTTTCTTTTCTTTTTTTTTTTTTTTAAAGATTTTATTTATTTATTCATGAGAGACACACAGAAGGAGGGAGAGGCAGAGACACAGGCAGAGGGAGAAGCAGGCTCCAGGCAGGGAGCCCGACGTGGGACTCGATCCTGGGACCTCGGGGTCACGCCCCGGGCTGAAGGCAGGTGCAAGCCGCTGAGCCTCCCGGGCTGCCCCGAGACGGTTTATTTAAATCGCAAATTCAGTGGCGCGCATCCTGCACTGAGCTAGGTGCTCGGGATGTAGACATGAAAGCTACCGTCCTTGATTTTCAGGAACGCCAGAGTACCTTCTGGCAGACAGATGCCTACAGCTGGCTCTAATACCCTGTGCTCGGCTCTATAGAAGGGGCCGGGGAGAGACTGGAGCCCGTCCTGGGAACTAGTGAGGAGGCCCAGCCACAGAGAGGTATTAGGGTTCCTGAGAACTAGCAGGAGCTCTCATTTTGGGAGGATCCCGGGAACCTGGGCCTAGGCGACCGTGCCTCAGTGTCGCTTGTTCTGTTTGGAAGGTTCCCTGGAGTTCTTAGACCCCCCACCTGTCTTCTATCAGTAACACCTGTTGATTTTAGCTATGAGAACTTGTGAGTTAGGAGTTACTGGGGATACCCAGATTCTAGTTTTATTTTCTTTTAAAGATTTTATTTATTTATTCATGAGAGACAGAGAGAGGCAGAGACACAGGCAGAGGGAGAAGCAGGCTCCATGCAGGGAGCCGGATGTGGGACTGGATCCCGGGTCTCCAGGATCACATCCTGGGCTGAAGGTGGCGCTAAACTGCTGCGTCACCTGGGCTGCCTACAGATTCTAGTTTTCTTTCTCTCTCTCTCTCTTTTTTTTTCTTTTTCAACACTGACTGTTCATGTGACCTCGGGCAAGTGACTTAATTTCTCTAGACATGTTTCTTCATCTGTGCAGTGGGGAGAATTTGGCAGAGGCCCTGCAGGCCCAACATAGAAGTAAGTGGAGAAGCTTTACATCTGAATGCTGCCCTGAGGATTTGGGTTAATGAAACGGCTGCTCTGGAAGAAGAAACAGCAGGCCCCATAGCTTCTGCCTCTGCTCCTGGGCTCACCGGTGGTGCCTCTGCCTGCAGGTGAATGAAGCCTCTGGAGATGGCGGTGGAGAGGATGCCATTGTGATCCTGGAGAAGACACCGTTTCAGGTGGAGCAGGTGGCTCAGCTCCTGATGGGTCGCCCCGAGCTCCACTTGCAGTTCTCCAATGATATCTACAGCACCTATCACCTGTTTCCTCCACGGCAGCTGAGTGGTGAGCGAGTGGTGGCTGGGGTGGCTTTCTGTGGGGAGGGGGGGGGGAAGTGAGGGGGTGTGGTGGTTCCTCTGCAAAACTGATTTGTACATTCTAGTGCAGTACTTCTCAGTGGAAGCAGGAGGGGATTTTGCACTCTGCCTCCCCAGGAGACATTTGGCAATCTCTGAAGACAGTTTTGGTTGTCAGAACTGGGGAGATGGGGGTGCTGCTGGTACCTAGAAGGTAGAGGCCAGGGATGCTCCTGAATATTGGGAAGGGAGTGTGATTCATGGTATAGAACAGTTTCATAGGGACGTCTGGGTGGCTCAGCGGTTGGGCGTCTGCCTTTGGCTCAGGGTGTGATCCAGCAGTCCTGGGATCGAGTCCCACATCGGGCTCCCTGTGTGGAGCCTGCTTCTCTCTCCTCTTTCTCTGCCTGTGTCTCTCCCTCTCCCTCTCTCTGTGTCTCTCATGAATAAGTAAATAAAATCTTAAAAAAAAAAAAAAAGTTTCATCTACTAACCGAATAATAATAGTAATGGTTGTCAACACTAAACTCTTAATATTGTGCTAGTTACCATTCTAAATATCTTACATGTATTATCGTATATAATACTCAGAGTAGCCTGATAGTGACAGCACTTTATAGGTCAGGGAACTGAAATTTTCAAAGGTTAAGTAACTTCTCCAAGATCACACAGCCAGTAGGTGGCAGAAAAACTAAGATCTTTCAGTGGACAGAGGACTCAATATGCTGCTGTGGGATGAGCGGTGTGTGGGGTGCTGCAAAGATCAATTACTCCCCTTGAAGGAACTCACTTTTAGTCTGGGAGACAGTGAGTGGGATCCAGGGGAATAGACTTGGGAAAGGCAGGAATTCATGGGCTAAAAGGCAGAGATTTGTTTTGGATTGCCAGGATTTTTTTTATTTATTAAGAAGAGAATGAATTTGGGGCACCTGAGTGGCTCGGTTAAATGTCTGCCTTTGGCTCAGGTCATGGTCTTGGGGTTCTGGGATCCAGCCTCAGTTCAGGCTCTCTGCTCAGCAGGGAGTCGGCTTCTCTCCCCTCCCTCCATGTTCTCTCTCACTCTCACTCTAGCTCTCTCTCAAGGAGGTAAATAAAATTTTAAAAAGAAGGGGAAGAATTTATTATTTCCTTTATTTTGTTTTAGCTTCCATGTCAAAAGCTAGGCGTGATATGCGCTTTTTCCCTTTAGGTGGTTAGGTTTAAAAGGCAGCTTTGTTGGAAGCATGAAGGAGACTGATTGAAGGTTCCATCCAAGTAGGAAATTTGGGGATCGACTTTGTAGCACGTGGCAGTTTTGTAATACCCTTCTATCTTTTTATCCTCCGGCATTTAAGAATAATTTGGCTTTACGGATACCCCGCCACAGTCTTTTTGATAGGTTTAATCTTTTCTGCACCCTCAAGAAAGGGTGCCGGTATTTGTTGTCCTTTGGAAGTATGTGTGAACACTTGATGTGGAACAAACTAACCTTTCACAACTGAAGGCAAAATAGCTGGGTCCTCCACTGAAAGCGAGCCAGATTGATTGGTTCTAGTTGATGGAAATGGACAGCTGTATTTACTTTCTCAGGCGCTGACATTTAAGCAAACGTAGCCCCCAACCCGGAGCAGCAGAAGGCACGACAGAAGGCTCTGTAGCCAAACACCATTCGGGGCTGCCCCCCAACCATTGGCTCCAGGGTCATTATTCTGTTGCCACCTCTTCCTCTCGCCTTTCCCAACGCCTCTATCCACGCTCCTCACCCTCAGCCAAAATACAGAGGGTTCTGCTACACAAACCCTGTGGAATTCACAGCCTTTCCTTTTCATTTTATTTTCCCACTACTTCTGTGATATTGCACACAAGTGGTGGTGGCCACTTGCCCTGGCTTTCTATTTTTGTCTTTTTTTTTTTCTAAGCTAAGCCCTGAAAGAGGCGGTCAGGTTATCCATTCATTCCAGTTCTTCCTTCCCACTCAGAACCCAAAATGTTTTCTGCTTTTTTTTTTTTTAAGATTTTATTTATTTATTCATGAGAGACACAGAGGCAGAGACACAGAGAGAAGCAGGCTCCCTGCAGGGAGCCCGATGTGGGACTCCATCCAGGGACCCTGGGTTCACACCCTGAGCCAAAGCAGATGCTCAACTGCTGAGCCACCCAGGTGCCCCTGTTTTCTGTTTTCTTTTTTTTTTTTTTTAAGATTTTATTTACTTATTCATAAGAGAGAGAGAGAGAGGGGCAGAGACACAGAGGGAGAAGCAGGCTTCTTGTGGGGAGCTCGATGTGGGTCTTGATCCTCAGACCCAGGGATCCAACGGACCCGAGTAAGCTGACGGCAGACACTCAACCACTGAGCCACCCAGGTGTCCCTGTTTTCTACCCTTTCCCCAGTACTGCCCTCCACCCCACCCCCAGGGAGCCTCAGATGTGAACTTATCCTTTCTGGGGCTCCCTGTCTTTGCAGAAGCATTAGTATACCTGCAGCACATTATACTTTTATTTTCTCTCGCCAAACTAGGCACAGTGATTGGAAGTCCTAAAAATTTGTTTCAGGGCTTAGCCCTGCTCTCTGTCTCTCTTTCTCTCTCTTTCTCTCTCTTTCTCGTATGGGCTATACACCCTGTCCCTGGATGATAGTCTAGATCAGGGGTTGGCAAACTTTTATTGTAAAGGGCCAGAGAGGAAATATTTGAAGCTTTATGAACCACATCAGTGGTCTGTTTCACATGATCTTTTTTCCTTTTTTTTTTTTTTTTTTTAACTGCTTTAGAAATGAAAATGCCAGTCTGAAAAAAGAAAGAAAGAAAGAGCCACTCTTAGTTTGCTGGATGCAGAAAAACAGGCCATGGAGCTCATCTTCTGGCCATTGTTCATTAACCCCTGTTTCAGATTCTCTCCCACTCAAAGTGTGGCCTGTGGACCAGCTGAATTGCTGTCACCCAGGAGCTTATTAGACACATGGATCTTCAGACCCCACTCCAGAAGTCAGAATTAGTGTCTACATTTTAGCAAAACCCCTAGGCGAGTCACATACACATCAGACTTTGAGAGGTGCTGGTCTTTAAATACCACCTGTATGCAGGGATGCCCATGTTTATTTCTGCATCCCCTGACGTCTCCAAGAACTCCAGGCTCAATGGAATAAGCACCTACCTGACCTCTTTGGAGGTCCTAGGTACCTCCTAGGTAAAATGTGAGGCTCAGACACCGTAATGTCTTTAAAAATACTTAGCACATCTTGGGATGCCTGGGTGGCTCAGCGGTTTGGCGCCTGCCTTTGGCCCAGGGTGTGATCCTGGAGTCCCAGGGTCGGGTCCCACATCGGGCTCCCTGCATGGAGCCTGCTTCTCCCTCTGCCTGTGTCTCTGCTTCTCTCTGTGACTCTCATGAATAAATAAAATCTTTTAAAAAAAATACTTAGTACATCTTGAATAGTAGCAGCTATAATTATTCTCATGTGCTGAGCCCTGTGCTGGGTCCTGCAGCTTGAGATGAATAAGACACCTGCTCTGCCTGCAGTCTTGTTTGGGGAGGGATACCCCACAAGTTACTATGAAAGAGAGAAGTAAACTCAGTAGGGTTTGGTCGCTGCCTGGATGTGTGGAACAGGGATCCTGGAAATTGGGAGCCATGTCTGACCCGTTTCCGTTCCCCAGCAACCCGACCTATGGTAGGTGCTCACTAAATGCTGCTGGAAAATGAACCCACAAACTGACTCGGCTGTTTTTCCTGTGGGCCAAGTGTTCCTCAGCCACAAGGTGGCGGCGTTGCCCAAGTATTCCTGTGGCCAGCTCCTTTGGCCTCTGCCAGAGCCACCTGGGCCCCACCTCTCCAGTCTTAAGAGTCCATCACGGGCTCTTAATGCTGCCTGGAGAGGCCTTAAGGCATGGTTCCTGCAGCCTCAGCCACCCCCCCCCCCAGCACCCTGTACAGTTTTTGAGTTTTCCTGCCGTCTCTGACTGTTCCTCCAGACGTCCTTCCCATAATACTGCTTGCTGACGGAAGGCCCCCTGCCCCCTGTTTCTGAGCCAACTGCTCTCCCGATTTCTTCCGGTTATCTCTCTACTCACTGGCAGATTTCTTCTCTTCCGGCCTGAAGGTTTTGCATTCTCCTCCTTTATCCCTCCTAAATTCTCAGCTGACCACAAGAGGCTGCCCTTTGAAGCCACTCATGGCCCCCCACCCTGTTGACACAATAGAGACGGCAGGGAGTTGGAGTCATACAGGCTTAGGTCTTGTCCTGGTGCTAATACTTATTGGTAGTGTCAAGCTGTTTCTGAGTTTCAGTTTAGTGTAGAGGTGAAAAGCAAGCCATCATCTGTGCTGGACTCTGGCTTTGCCATTGCACCAGCTGTAAAGACTTAGTAAGTTTTTGTATTCTTTTAACAGAGACAAAGTGCCTCCTACATATTCGGTGCTGTGTGAGGTAGGTATCGGTGAGTGTATTAGGTATTCGCTGTGTCTTGGAGTTGTAGTTGCAGGACAACGGCAGACACCAGACAAGGAAACAGATGAGCAGGAGAGGGGTGCTTGGGCTGGGGGTCCAGCAGGGCTCTCTGTGGAGGTGACACTCCAGCCAAGACCAGCACGATGAAAAGGAACCAGCTGTGCAAAGAGCTGGTGAGGGGCGGTAAAAGAATGTTTGTGGCTGAGGGAATAGCATGTGTCTTGGAGGAGGAAAGAGGAACAGAAAAGAGGCCCTTTTGTCGGGAGCTTGAGGGGGCAGTTGATGGCTGTGGTGTGTGAAACACATGTTGGGGAAGTTGCTTCGGTTATGTTGTTAAATTAGGTTAGTAAGTGAACATATTTTGGGACAGTTGCGAAACAAATGGCATAAGGAAATGTTTAAAGGGTGCCTGAGTGGCTCAGTCGGTTAAGCATCCGTCTCTTGATTTGAGCTCGGGTCATGATCTCAGGGTCATGGGATGGAGCCTCATGTTCGGCTCCATGCTGGGCATGGAGCCTGCTTAAGATTCTCTCTTTCCATTCCCTCCCCCCTACCCCGCAAAA